TTTTTTTTTGAGATGGAGTCTCGCTCTGTTGCCCGGGCAACAAGAGCGAAACTCTGAAAAAAAAAAAAAAAAAAAAAAAATGTTGTTCAAGGCGTAGTCTCAACTCAGAGAAGTAGCCCAAGTTTGTGGCTCATTAAGAGAAGCATTGTCCTTATTTAGACAAGATTGGGCATATTCAGAGTGGTATGGCTGTAGATTACCTTAAAAATGTTAGGACTCAGATGGAGCCCTAGGTGAAAAGCAAACTCCTCTGATCAAACCAGACCACTGAAATTAGTCTGTGGAGTTTACATGGTACAGTTAGTGAATTTTCTGCAAAGTGAGTGCCTCAATAACTGTGTGGAGTGTGCTGAGAACAGTGCATGTGTGTGCAACTGGACATGCCCAGCTGTGATCCTGGAGTCAGCCTAGGTCATGTTCTTTGCCTGCTGTAGACTAAATCAAACAAGGATGGTGGGAACCAGGAGGTCGAGATTGCCCGCTGCCATAAGGGGCAGTACTTTGGAGAGCTTGCCCTGGTCACCAACAAACCCAGAGCTGCCTCAGCTTATGCAGTTGGAGATGTCAAATGCTTAGGTAAGAAAAGTTCTTTATGCATTAATACTCTTTTTCTAACGTGTAATATTTTTTTCCCATCAGCAAGCCTTGACATATTCTGCCATCTTTTACTACTGTCTAGGCCTAGGCAGTTTATATGACCACCAGGGATGGATGAATGGATTCTTTCAGCAAACATTTCTGAGCGTTGATGACAGTCTGTGAGCAAGACAGGCATGCAGGCCCTTTAGCCATATGAAAAGAACTGATGTCCAGGGCTGTGGGAGAATGGGGAGAACAGGTGCTGCTGGACTCTGTAAAGTCTCTAACTTGGATGACACAGTCTTTCTGAATTCATGTAGAAACATCCCTGTTCTAGAGAAGGGACTAAGTGGGCACAAATATGGCTGCAACTCCAGAGAATGCTACTGAAATTGGAAAGAGAAAGTTGGCTCAAATGGAAC